AGGCCTTAAAAAATATAGTAATTATATAGGGCAAGAGGAGAGGCAAAATATAGGAGGGTGCTGCCCACTGAAGATTAGAAATGAATAGGGAACAGGTTATTATATAAAATAAATGGGAACTTTATAGTTACATTTTCTAATCTCTCATCTAAATAATGCAAAATAGATTTTAGTCCTAGGCATCAACTGTTTGATTCGTGTTTTCTTCTCTTTATGTATTTTGAAAACCTTCAAATAAAGAATAAAAAAAAAATAGGTTTTAGTCATATCTATTCATAAACACACTTTTTAGTACTGTTTCATAAAATATAAAATATACTCAGTTTGGTCTGAATAAAGTTGTAACATTTGTAGTCACCGGTTAATAATGTAGCAAGTGGATAACATATAAAACACAGCAACCTGTATAAACACCCTCTCCATGCTTGGACTCCTGCACAGGAGCTGATCTCTGCCCCTTACAATACGTCCATATGGCAAAGAGAATGGTCAAAAGTTGAAAACTAGAAGGCTATGGTGAGTATGGATAAGTGTGACTCAGCCCCAAATACAACAGTATTTAAGAAAATTAAAACTGCCCAAAGGACTTTGCGAGGCACACTAAATTAGTAGTTTAAAAAATCACATGCTTTATTACTATTGTTGGAAAAAAGACATATTAAAATTTTTCAAACGTCAATGTACATCCAACATCAGGTTTGTAAAGAGTATACAAGTTCAAAATGCCAAATCTACATAATCCATGAATTACATAGCATAAGATCTCTGCGCAACATCTCAATGCGTTTCATGAAGAGTTCACGTCTTCAGGAGATAACAAGGCCTGGTAGGTATGGTATATGGAGTGGTACTTGAGAAGAGAGCAGGTTGTTATAAATAAATTTAAATAAAAAAAAAAACACATCAAAATCACAAAACTTACCACCAATTCAATCCATATTACGTTACCTCTCAAGCATATGGCGCCTTGAAGACACCCACCAACACAAAATTGTCCTGGCCAGGAGCTGTGATGGGAAACAGATTAACCCACTAAGGGAATGCAGCAGGGGGCACTAATGGATACCATCAATAAATTAATGCTACAAGAAAAAATACAAAAAAAAAAAAATATATAGAAAACCAGAAGAAGAAGAAAAAAGGAGAAATATAACAACTATATAAGACCAAAGTTCATATAAATGATAGAAAGATAGTCAGTAATGGATATTGCGAAAAAAGCCAATGAACCCATTTCTGGTTATAATAAAATCCAATACAGGTTACATAAAAAAATGTAAAAAATAATGTAAATGAAAACCAGAGGTTGGTGAAGGTGAAGATTGAATAAAACAGAAACTCCGGGAGAAAAAAGCACGGGAGAAAAAAGGCTCATACAGTTACCAGTCATCATATTGATCTGCAAAATTATAAAAATAAAAAAATGATCAATCTCAAAATATGGACACTGTAAAAGATACAAGAAAAACAACAACATGGTGTTCCTAAGCAGAGTCTCTTAAACCATCTACATAATATATAGAACAATGAAAATAACAAATAATAATTACACGGGAAGAAAAGGCTTAAATGAGGTGAAATCTTTCAAACCTGGAGGGCGAGAGGCCCTCAGTGAGTGAATCTAATTTCCTTCTGCAAAATCCTTCTGTCCCAATTGCCTCCCTGGAGATCAGGGAGAATGTGTTCAAGCGCAAGGAACTAAACCTTGAAGGGACAGTAAGTGTGGTCAAGGGCGGCATGTCTCCTATTTGGGGAATAAAGACCCCCTATTTCTATGGCACACGTATGATCATGTATGCGTCAACTGAATTCACGGATGGTCTTCCCCACATAAAAGGAGCTGCACTTAAAAGTGAGGAGGTAAACCACTGCTTGTGTGTGGCAATGGATACATTTTTTTGGGGACAAACCTTTTTCTGTTAGGCAGAACAACATTTCTGTTTGTGTTCAAATATTTGCAATAGGATCAATTACCACATTCAAAAGTGCCACGTAATGGATTGGTTCGTTCCAAACCCGGGCCTGGAAAAAAAGCTATGCACCAATTTGTCCTTGAGGGAAGGTGCACGACAAAAAAACAAACTGGGTTGAGTCAGTAAGTACCAATGTTTTTGCAATACAGTTCTAATTTGGTGGTGTTGTTCATTAAAATGTGTCATAAACTTGACAGTATTGTCTTGTTTTTTTCGGTCTCTTACCGAATAAGAGTGTTATGGGATTGGGCTTTGGTGCGGTTGTATGCTCTGCTCAAGCATTTCTTGCTGTAACCTGTAATCAATAATCGATCCCTATGTTTTTTTGGCTTCCATTTCAAAAGTATCATTGTCACTACAGTTGCATTTTAATCACAAGCATTGACTATAAGGAATAGATTGTATAAGTGACGCTGGATGAAAACTGCTTGCGTGCAAAATAGTATTGCCCGCAGTCGGTTTGCGATAGAGAGCATTGGTAATGCTCCCATCACTTGCCTTCCTGATTACAATATCAAGAAAAGCCACTTCAGATTGATCACATAACATAGTAAACTGTAAATTGCAATGGTTACAGTTCAACTTAGGAAGAAATTCTTTCAAAAGGAGCCTATCACCATCCCATACGATGAAAATATATTTATATATTCATCGCATGAGAAAACATGGTGCTCCCACTCCCCCAGGTAGAGGTTGGCGTGGGATGGGGCACAACATGTGCCCACCGCTAGGCCTTGTACCTGTAGATAATGGGAAACCCGCAAAGCAAAAATTATTGTTAGACAAAATGAAATGCAATGCAGCAGAGCAAGTACAAAATCATCCCGATCTCTGTCTTGTTGACCTTTCTATGACAAAAAGCATCAAACAACATTGACACCCAAATCATGTAGTATGCTGCAATATAGGGCTTCCACATCAATGGTGAGCAGTCACACCGATTCAGAGGCAACAATCCCATCAATTAAATACTACTTACAATATACAGCACTTCTATTGTGGATATATAAAGTGCATCCAAATATTTTATAACTAAATTTATACACTCAAATAAATGTCCACAAAGTGCAATCTTTTTGTTTGTAAAGTGCTTTCTTCTTCAAAAAAAAAAGTGCAATATATTACTTTTCTTCTTTATATATGTGCAAATTAAGTTTGCAATGGCACCATGAATATCAACAGTTCCAGATATGCAAATTAAAGTGCCTCATGCAAAGGCACCATGAACATCAACAATTCCAGATGCTGTTCCACATGTTCCACTCCACCACTGTGCGCACCACCACTCCTGAAAACTCACCAAATAGCCATGACCTTCTCACTTCAGAGTTGGGCTATATTCACTTTTGTATACTGTAGGTTCCCCACTAGGAATGTGGCTTCCAGGACTCCTCTCGGTCACAATGTTACTAGGAATATCATGCAATTAGGAGGGAGAGAGATTCCAAAGTATAAAATACCCTTTATTTAAAATCAAACATAACAACCACTAAAAAAGCATTGTGCCCTGCACCCGGGTTTAATTGCTTAATCTCGTGACCAGCCGCCCTGCTAATCCCAGCCCAGGCTGCCTCACAATACAAGTGTATCTCACCACTTCCGGGTGACACCGCCATGTTGCAATGTTGTCACTTCCTGTAGCTCCACCTCGATGTACGTTTCGTCGTAATGACATCTTCAAGGGGTGTTGTAAGTATGGTATATGGAGTGGTATCTAAGCACAAACCAGGTCGTTATTAATAAAATGAAATAATTAAAAAAAAAACAAAAAACGTTGAAATCACAAAACTTACCACCAATTCAATCCATATCACATAACTCAAAACAATTATATCGGGGCTGGAGGAGAACCCAAGCAGCAGATGGCTACTGGAGGATACCCACTGGCATAAAACCATCCTGGCCATTTTTTTTTTTTATTTATAAGAACCTGGTCTCTCCTCAGATACATATACCATACCTACAAGCTATGTTATCTCCTGAAGAAATGAACGCTGCTTCATGAAACGCTGTTGTGTAGAGAGCTTGTGCTATGTAATTCATGAATTATGTAGATTAAGCATTTTTACTTTACACTTTACAAACCTGATGTTTGATGTGCATTGACTTTTTGTAATAATTATAAAATATCTTTTTTTTCCAACAATAATATTATAGTATGTGATTTTTTTAACTACAATTTAATGTGCCTCGCAAAGTCCCTTGGGCAATTTTTCTTCTCTTAAATGGTCAAAAGTTTACTTTAATAGATATTCTCAATAATTTTGCCTGTTTTGTGACAATGAATTCTCTAAACAACAGTTTAGGCCTGTTTTTGAATTGTCCGTAAGCAGCATATCTTAGTTTCCCCAGTTTTGTCCTTATTCTTTGGTTACATTGTCTGACATGAGGCCTGCCAACATGAGACCATGAGACTTATAAATGTTGCAGTAGAGGCTTAACATGAGATGGAGCTAGTGTTATTGTATCCTTCTGTGATAATGCCGGTTCTGGAGTATATTGTTACCTAGCTGTCTCTGCAGATGGATAAAGGATGCAGGTACAGTGAGACGTACTGGTATTATTACTGAATAAGGCTTTGCTAATAGGCTGTTTGGAGGCTGTCCTCACATTGCCTGACGGGGGGGCCATAAAGGAAGGGGTGATATTGAGAAACCCAGGAAACTTTGGCTTCCAAGTGTTTTAAGTATGGACATTGTAGAATCACTTAGAAAAGACTGTTTTTAATGTAAACTAGATAGGTTATGAGACATTACTCTCTCCAAACAGTATAGTGCACTAAACCTGTAGGTACATAAGAAAACCAAAACCAAAAACCTAAGTTAAGGAGTGGGTTTGATAATAAAGTTGGCAGTGCCTCCATCCACGACAGGACCTCTGTGAGTAGAGGGGATTCTCATCCTGGGAAATTAACAAGTGACCTAATCAAAGTAATTGAGCACAGAGGAACTACTGCAGCCAGCATATAACATTACTTATATGTACGTATTTTTCGCTCCATCGCTCCATAAGACGCGCCTAGGTTTTAGAGGAGAAAAACAAGAAAAAAAATATTCTGAACCAATGGACTACAGACATAGTACAGGAAGTGACCAGACACTGTGGACACAGTACAGGATATGACCAGAGACTGCGGACATAGTACAGGAGATGGACCAGAGACTGCGGACACTGTACAGGAGATGACCAGAGACTGCAGACAATACAGGGGATGACCAGAGACTGCAGACAGTACAGGGCATGACCAGACACTGCGGACCTTTAGGGAGGGAGGTGGAGCAGGTACCTGAATTTTCCCACTTCCACGGAGTTCTCCTTCCTATACTGTGGGCACCCGACTTTGACAGCCGGTTGCCCAATGGCCCGGCGTCTTTTGGGACCTGTCATGTGTCCCAGAAGACACCGGCCCATTCACAAAGCGCAGCGCTTATCGCACATGCGCAGTGGGCACCCGGCTGTCACAGATGCTGGGGCGGGAAGACTACAGCGCTGGACCGAGGAACAGGTGAGTTCCTGCCACAGAAAACAGCTGAGCGGCCGGCCTGGTATTCTGACATGGTGGCGTTGGAAATACTGGACCGGCCGCTTTATATTTGCTCCATAAGACGCATTGACATTTTCCCCCCTTTTTTTGGGGGAAAAAAGTGTATCTTATGGAGCGAAAAATACGGTATACAAATGCACAGCAGTATGAAAATAATATGAGCTTTATATATTACAAGATTAATAATAGTACATAAATCCAATTTACACACAGGTAATATTAACAAAGGCCCAAGAGGAGACCTGCTGGAATTGTGCACATATACCCAGGTATATATACCGTAGTTATTAATAAAGATACCTCCAGCTGAATGTTGCAGCAATGTCCAGTTGCAGGGACCCCTGAAAATTATAGCAATGCATCATATGTCTTGATGAAGACCTGAAGACAAGATCAGCAATGATGAGGAGAACCTCCAACTGTTGTCCAACTGGCCTGGAGCGCAGCTTCTCATCAGCAAAAACTGGTGTGATACTTGAACTCAGAGTCAGCCTATCCACTCTGTGTCTTAGTCCCTGGTAGCTTTTATATAGGTCATGCAACTGGACCTCTCACTACCAAGTGGATGTCAGATGTCTAACCTGGTTCTAGCCTATGCTGTATATAACCTCTATTGCAATAAACCAGCTCACCCACTAACATACAGCACGGTGACCACTACACATGCACACTGTGTCACAGACTGAACTATCTGGTATAGTGCATGTGAGAGAACAACAGGGGGACATATATACTTTTGCCACCAGTCTTTAAATATATTGTATATACAGTATATACACACGAAGAAGCTATGGGCAACAATAGTAAACTGTGAAATATAGGAACACTTGTCTATTAATCCCTGCTTCTGGTCTGGATTCAGCCCTTCCATAGCAGGACATGTGGTATTAGACTCTCCCTTTCTGTTCTCTCCCTCTGGAGTTGCTTACCCGGCCTCACAGAGAACAGAATATGTACATAAATAACTCTGTGACATTAATAAGCAACAGCTATTTACATATACAGACCGTTGGGGGCAGCAAATCAATAGACAATCAACTTTTTTTTGCTATTATCCCACTGATTCTTAACTATCTGCAAGGCCATCTAACAATAGGCAGTCGATAGCAAGTACCATTAAAATTAAAATGGAAAGGCTCTGAGCCATGGTGATTTATCATAATGTGGCTGAAGCATGAAGTTGTGGATTGCCTACTTAAGCCAAGGCCTAGGGCAGCCAAAATCTAGGGGCTGCAGACTGTCTCTTGTTTTACTAATTGATTTTCTTTCCTATATAACTCTGTGGTAGACAAAAACATTAGGAAATGAATATTGCATTACATACAGAGTACAGTTTATGATATAGTGCACCCACAAAAGTGTATGAATATAGGGAATTAGTCTGTGGAAGGATATACTGAAATGCAACTAAGACTGTACTATCAATGAAGAACAATAGGGAAACAGCCAAAATCTGATTGGATGGATTTTCCTCTATCTCTGGCTTCTGAAACTTTTATATAATCCAACTTGTCTTTAGGTTTACCCCTCCTTTATAGAACAGCAAACCTTATGTCACCTAGAACCGACGCAGCGTGGATCATATAGTCTTTGGCTACCAGATGCATTATGGATGTTTAAAGGCAAATTTATCTTTATTACATTTTAACAGCAAATTTTACAAAACAGAACATAAGAGATAGTGATAACATATATTAGTAAGTAAATGTACAGATATCTCAAACGGGAAGATTATCCAAGAAAGTAAATGGAAATAACTCTGTGCAACGGATAAATGACAGGATCAACAGTATTTGTTACTGAGGTGTCAAAAACATAATTTCCAGGGGGGTACCCCTAGGTGAGACATGGAGAACAGAAAAAAAAAATAACTCTGTACAATTCAAGGTACTACCCCAAACAAGAAAAAAGATAGGAGAGTATAGAAAGAAAAGAGAGAAGCGTGTTGCAGAGATAGTAGAGGACAAGAAGAGAGAAAAGGATTGGGAGGAAGGGATGGAAAGGAATGGAATCAAAGTGGTCCACCACTGGGACCCCAGGGACGAGACCCATTGGCACGCAGCCAGACATAGGCGGCAAGATTGCAGCACAGTGGACCGGACAGATGAAGCTCAGCTCTATTAGGACACAACAGGGGAACAAAAACTTGGAGGGTCGAAGAGGAGGAGAAATGGAGCCAGACTGACTATAGTGATTTGTATTTATCATAGGTATCATTGGCAAACACCAACATTTCTTCCATATGCATGATATTGTTAAGTGCAGAAAACCACATTGGAAGAGGTGGGGGGTGGCCGTTTTCCAAAAGAGGGATATCAATTGGCGAGCCGCAGATAGAAGTAAACGTAGCAAGCACTTCTTCTGTGCTGCCAGTGAGCCTGGTAATATGAGAGGAGAGCAATCTTCGGTGAGGAGGCCAAGGACTCACCATAGATCCTGTTATATACATCAAAAACTTGACTCCAAAAGGTTTGTATCAGGTCACAATCCCACCAAATGTGGAGCTGTGTACTGACAGCCTTAGTACAGCGCCAGCAGAGATTGGATGTGGCAGGAAATATTTTGTGTAGGGAGAAGGGGTTCCTGTACCATCCAAAAAGAAGCTTAAAGTTCTTTTCCTGTGAATAACATGAAATAGACGATTTATGAGTGAAATGGAACGACGTAGACCAGTCGTCTGCCGAAATGTCTCTACCAAGGTCTCGAGCCCCATTATGGGTGTTTAACATGATCTGGATGTGCAAATTTTTATTGCTTTCAGTAAAACAACACACGTTTTGTTGGTAATTTGACATATACTAGTACATAATAACTAGTAACAATAAAGCTTTGTGTGTATCCAAACCCATAAAACACTGTTTAGAGTTGAGAACTTCACATGGTCCTCATAACAAGCAGTATTTGTATAGACTTTACCTACCTACTCTCAGTGGGCACTGTATAAAGTTCAACTAATACCCATAAAGGGGTGCAACATGTTCAGTAACAATAAGGAGGTATGGTGTGACATTCAACTGATACTCAAGTAGGACTAATGGGACTAATGAGTGCGAATAAAATACCACTACCACCACAGCCTAAACAACTGACATGTGAAAAGATGGATGCAGAATATGTGTGTATTTATCCGTTCAGTCATTTCTGACTCTTGGCGATTCTGTGGGCCAGATGTCTGGGCATCATGACTTCAAGGAGTAGATGCCAATTATGACCATCTGCACATTACAACATAAATCAAAATTCATCAGGGCAGGCAACATTTTTGCAACCTTTGATTATTTAATTTTGCTGATCCCACTGTAGCTTCATGTTGCTGTTCTCAAGGAGTATGAGTGAGACCCAGCGTGGTCTTCTACTGCTGTAGCTGGTTCACTTCAACATTCAATTCACTCCATTCCTGGGGGTGATGAGATTGGTAGTTTACACAAGAAAGATAACATTTTGCTTTCAGTTTATATCTCATAGGAAGTGACAAGGACACTGCGTTTCTGGTGAGATCACCAGGCATTTTCCTGTACTTGGTAAAAATATTTTGGCTTGAAAAATGACAACTAATACAACCCACAAATACAAAGAATGAGAAGTTTCAATATATTACATTTTTCTTTTTTCGGTATAGCTATAATTTAACCACTTGACCTAAGGAAGCTTTTACCCCCTTCATGATGAGGGCATTTTTTGCTATTCAGCACTATGCCATTTTAACTGGCAATTGCTCAGCCATGCAACACTGTATTCAAATGAAATTTATATAATTTTTTCTACACAAATAGACTTTCTTTTGGTGGTATTTGATCCACTTGGATTTTTAATTTTTTTTATTACATAAACATGTTTTGTACTACAAGGCAGGGGCGGACAGACCATTTGGGAACTCGGGCGCTGCTTGATGGCCCGGGGTCAGTAGGGCTCCCCATGAGATGCCCATGGTACCTTTCATAGGCTTTATTGGGTGTGGTTTGAGTGTGGGGGAGGACACAGGGGCCCCATGATCTCCTATTGCCCGGGGGCCCCATGAGTTGTCAGTCCGCCCCTGCTACAAGGGGTTAACTGTGTGCCTAACAAATGTATGTGTGCTAATTTTACTCACAGACTGGCTTTTCTCCCTGATCTCAGCTCTGAATGGTAAAGGGAGAAGAAACAGCCAGATCTGTGTTTACTAACACTGAACTCTGTGCTGTGGCTGTGAGCCTGCTGAGAAACTCGTGCTGTGTTCAGCATGATCAGCAGGGGGCACACGGCATATGCCCCCCCATCATGGGGAAGAACAGAGCAGCCAACCAGCAGTAAATGTTAAACTGCTGGATGGCAAGTGGTTAAATTGCATATCTTCCCCATTGTCTTAAGCTGAACAACAACTGAACTTCTTGAACATGTCTGTGTGGATTTAGCATTGAGTTGCAGCTATACAATTCCCATTTCCCTAGTCTCTATTCTCTAGCTATGGAAATATACAAGTGTATACAAAGAAAAAGTCACCGATTAGTGTATATTTAGACTGCTTTGAAGTAAAACTCACTTGAAAGATTCCTATAGATTACTATTTTTAAGCAATGTTTTTGTGGATAAAGTACATGGTGCCAGGATTTACCACAAAGTATATCATGATTATGATTAAAAGCAACAGAACTAGAAATGTACCTCAGTTAACGTAATTTTCGGTTTACGAATGAAAATCCATTAAAAATAACGCCTCGGTTTACGATTTTTTTTTCGCAATCCGAACGGATTAATTGGTTTTCAGTGCATTTAGGAATTTTTTTTAATCATGTCCCTGTATAGTGCTATGCCTTTAAAGTGCACTTTATAAATAGTTTTGAACAGATAAGACTTTTTTTTTTACTTTTTTCTGACCTCCGGAACGGATTAATTGGTTTTCAATGCATTTACAATTTTTTTTTTAATCATGTCCCTGTATAGTACTATGCCTTTAAAGTGCACTTTAAAAAGAGTTTTGAACAGATA